TTAAAGCAACTAAAAGAATTATTGAAATGAGTTCAAATGGAAGAAAAAAATCTGTTGATAAATGAATCCCAATTTGTTGACTATTATTTATCAAATCTTGTTCTAGAATCTGGTTTGATCTTGTAGTCCAAATAATCCCGTACCATGACGTATCTAGAATAGTAGTAATTAGTGAAACAAAAATACTTGTACAAACCATCGAAGTAACCCCATCCCCAACGGTCCAAAGATAAAAATCTTTGTGATATTCTGAACCATTCATGAACATCACAGCAAATATGATTAAAATATTTATAGCTCCTACGTAAATAAGAAGTTGCGCAGCGGCTACAAAATGGGAATTAGATAGAATATAGAATAGGGAGATACAAACAAGAACCAATCCCAATGAAAAGGCGGAAAAAATTGTATTGTTAAGTAATACTACTCCCAGACCTCCCAATATAATACCCAATCCCAGAAAAACTAAAAGAAAATCATGTATTGGTCCAGGTAAATCCATTCTATGTAAAATAAGAAATAAATAAATCGAAATATTTCATGACTTTATTGACCTGACCAGGAAAAAGGTGACTCTATATTTTTTTATGAGATTTCTTAATTGTTAATTGAATTCAATCTTAATGAGTGCGTATTAGGTACAGAAATCTCATTCTTTATCCGAAAGGATAGTTTGAAACTATATATTTTGAAATCATTACGAATATGGAATAAAATATAGAAATAGATTTTCTATCCAAATTGAGCCGCGGTTCTCACCAACTAATCAATAGTTTGGATTTTTAGTTATTGACCAAACAAAAACCGTATTCGTTTAGATCAAAACTTAACCTTAGTAATTGGGAATTGCTCTTGAATCAAGGGGTTTAGTCATTTTTTATTTGAGGCGAATTCCAAATTGTTCGAACCGTGGAATCGTCAATTACCGATATTGGTAAACGACCCAAAGCAATTTGATTATAATTCAATTCGTGACGATCATACGTAGAAAGTTCATATTCTTCAGTCATCGATAAACAATTTGTTGGACAATACTCAACGCAATTACCACAAAATATACAGATTCCGAAATCAATACTGTAATTAAGCAATCGTTTCTTTCGAATATCCGTTTCCAATTTCCAATCAACAACAGGTAGATCTATAGGACATACGCGAACACATACTTCACAAGCAATGCATTTATCAAATTCAAAGTGGATTCGGCCGCGGAAACGCTCCGATGTGATTAATTTTTCATAGGGGTATTGAATAGTTACGGGTAAACGATTCGCATGGGATAAGGTAATCATGAAACTTTGACCAATGTATCTTGCAGCCCGTATTGTTTGTTGACCATAATTCATGAACCCAGTTACCATAGGGAACATATCGCGAATATCTATAAAAAATTTTATGCCTGTTTCTTTCTCTTGTTTGAGACAAGTCGTGAATATCGTATTCCTTTACAGTGACATAAGTTGGGAAGAAGTTGTTAATAATAGATTACCTAGAGAAATAGGTAAAAGAAATTTCCATCCAAGATTTAATAGTTGGTCCATTCTCAGCCTCGGTAAAGTCCATCTTGTTGTGATAGAAATGAACAAGAACAAATAAGTTTTAGCTAATGTAATAAAGATGCTAATTATTGTTCCAAAGACTATACCCGCTTTATTTATTTCAAAAAGCTCAGGAACGAGTATGTACGGAATAGAAAGATTCCAACCGCCCAAGTAAAGAACTGTTACAAATAATGAAGAAACTAGTAGATTTAGATAGGAAGCAACGTAAAACAAACCAAATTTGATACCTGAGTATTCGGTTTGATAACCCGCTACTAACTCCTCTTCCGCTTCTGGTAAATCAAAAGGTAATCTTTCACATTCCGCTAGGGAAGAAATTAGAAAAATGATAAACCCTATAGGTTGACGCCACAAATTCCATCCCCAAAACCCATATTTTGACTGTGCTTCAACTATATCAACTGTACTTGAACTGTTAGATAATCATAGTCGGTGATAACATCACTGTTTCCATCGCTATTACAGAACCGTACATGAGATTTTCACCTCATACGGCTCCTCGAGGGTCACAAATAAATCTAAGGACGCATTCAATATTATTTATCTTGATATGTTTGTAGGATAGATAGAGTCAAAATCTATCGTAAGGTCCCGAATTAGACCAATGGAATTCTGTCTGCTCTATTTATAATAAATAAAAAAAGTGCTTCTGAATTGATCTCATCTTTTAATAATTTTTCTTTTTTTGTTGTGTATGAGTAATAACTTAATCTTTCAATAAAATACTTTTTGTAGCAATATCCATACATATTTCAACCTACCATTTTCAATTACGAAAAAGAATTAGACATTACATTAGTTAAAGAATTAGACATTACATTAGTTCATGAATCATGATAAAAAGCCCGTCTCTCTAAATATGTATATAGGAAAGAAAGAATAAAAAAAGATTTTTCCTTTTTTCTATTGCAATGAAATTCTTTCTATTTTATTTATTTTTTCGTTCCTATTCTCCTTTCTCAGAAAAGGGGGGCTTTCAAAAAAAATAAATAGAGGATTACTTCGTTCCTGATAGTTATTTACCGAATCGGTGGATAGGAGCATACTCTGGATCGGAATCGTGGGGAGTACTGCTTGATCGTTTCTACCAACTTAAAGTCCCAATTAGAATTCCTTTTATGCAGAAATATCCTGTTGGATAACTTACATAATCTCTATTACTAATCCTTTGTGTACCTTGGTGTTCCTAACCATCCACTCATTTTTGCCCAATCCCCCATTATAATAATACATGTCTGGTAATAAATAATAAAAACCCCATCCAGTTGATCTTTTGAACCCGCTTCAAGACATGATGACTAATCAACCAATCTTGGGGTAAGCAGCCTCTACTGTTTATGTTTACTTTCACTTAACTCTTGTACATAGGAAATGAGACTCAATCTTTTTACTGCGAATTTAAAAGCTGTTTTTCTCACTCATATAACTATCTGGTTTAATTCATCAACCCAAATGTTGAATAAAAAATATGAAAATATGTATTCAACGCATTTAACTTCTTTCCTATAAAGCAAGGAAATAGGGAAAGTTTTTGTCTCAACGAATCACACGTAGAGATATTGATAACACACATAGAGTTAATGGTATTTCATAACTAATTGATTGAGCAGCAGCTCGCAGACCACCTAAAAAGGAATATTTATTATTTGATCCATATCCTGACATAAGAAGTCCAACAGGAGCAATACTTGAAATAGCAATCCATAAAAAAACACCAATACTGAGATCGGCTAGAACAAGGCGATAGCCAAAAGGAATTACTAAATAACTTAGTAAAATTGATATAACTGCTATGGATGGTCCGATACTGAATAAACGAGGATCTCCTCTAGATGGAAGAAGGTTCTCTTTGAAAAGTAATTTTGTCCCATCTGCTAGAGCTTGAAGAATTCCCAAAGGGCCGGCGTATTCAGGTCCAATACGTTGTTGTATTCCTGCTGATATTTCTCTTTCTAACCAAACAATTACTAGTACACCTATTGTGATTCCTAATACAAGAGTCAAAATAGGGACAAGCATCCATATGATCTCATAGACCTCTTTTAACGATTCCAATCTGGAAAAAGAATTGATAGCTTGTACTTCTGTTGTATCAATTATCATTTCAACGATCAACTTCTCCCATAATGATATCTATGCTACCTAGGATCGTCATAATATCGGCCAATTTCATTTTTTTAACTAACTGAGGAAGAATTTGCAAATTGATAAAACCTGGTGGGCGAATTTTCCATCTCCAAGGAAAAACACTCTGATCTCCTATGAGAAAAATTCCCAATTCCCCTTTTGGGGCTTCGACTCTTACATAAAGTTCTTGGTTCGACAATTCAAAAGTTGGAGAAGGTTTTTTACTAATAAATCGATATTCAAAATCATTCCATTCGGGATTCCTTACTTTATCAAAGCGTCGGATTTCTAAATTCTCATAGGGCCCCCCCGGAATTCCTTCTAGAGCCTGTTGAATAATTTTTATGGATTCTTTCATTTCACCGATTCGTACTAAATAACGAGCTAATGAATCCCCCTCTTTTTGCCATTGGACTTCCCAGTCAAATTCATCGTAACACTCATAATGATCAACTTTACGAAGATCCCATTGTATTCCAGAAGCTCGCAGCATTGGTCCTGATAAACCCCAATTTATTGCCTCTTCGCCTCCAATAATGCCCACACCCCTCAACTCGTTCTAAAAAAATAGGATTCCGCGTAATAAGCTTTTGATATTCAGCAACCCCTGTTAAAAAATAATCGCAAAAATCCAAACATTTATCTATCCAACCATGAGGTAGATCAGCAGCTACTCCTCCGATACGAAAATAATTATGCATCATTCGCATACCGGTAGCAGCTTCGAATAGGTCATATATTAATTCTCTTTCTCGAAAAATATAGAAGAAGGGGGTCTGCGCACCAATATCGGCCATAAAGGGGCCAAGCCATAACAAATGAGAAGCTATACGACTTAATTCCAACATAATTACTCTGATATAGCTAGCCCTTTTGGGTACTTGAATATTTCCTAACTGCTCTGGTGCATTTACGGTTATTGCTTCTGTGAACATAGTAGCTAAATAATCCCAACGTGTTACATAAGGCAAATATTGTATAATTGTTCGGTTTTCCGCAATCTTTTCCATCCCTCTGTGTAAATAACCCAATATTGGTTCACAGTCAATAACATCTTCACCATCTAGAGTAACGATGAGTCGAAGAACACCATGCATTGATGGGTGTTGAGGGCCCATATTGACTATCATGAGGTCTTTTCTTGTAGCTGTTGCAGTCATAAGTTTTTCCCCGATTCATTCTTCCATGAATTGCTGAAAGCGAAAAGAAGTTCATCAAAAATTAAGCGAATAATTCAAAATGACTCATCAAATTAACGAGTTTTTGTCTCTCGAATACCCAACTGACTAATTAATTCTTTATAACGTACTCTATTTTTTTTTGACAAATAAGCCAATAGCCGTTGACGTTTTCCCAGAATTTTCCGCAGACCCCTCTGAGATAAATAGTCTTTTTTGTGCAATTCCAAATGGGAAGTAAGTCTCTGTATCTTATTGGTGAACACGAATACTTGAAATTCAACGGACCCCCTCTTTTCTTCTTTTTCTTGGGAAATAACCGAGATGAATGGATTTTTTACCATAAAAGAACCCCCCTTTTACATATATTAATTTTACCGATCAGTAATAATAATAAGGCTAGTCATTTTAATCTGATATACACAATAATCTAAATTTCTTTATGGACTCCAATTTTATCAAGTAAAATGAATCAATAATCAATTCAATTTAAAATTGGAGTCGGATAGGAATACAAAAGGATAATACATTTCTGCACTTACGAAAGAGAATAATTTAGGCCTAAAATAAAGAAGATTCATTTCTATATCGAATGGATACGTCATTGAATTGGTATCGTATATTAGTGTAAGACAAGGCATGTGCGCATTTGTTTTGTTTGCTTTTAGATACTAGATATGATAGAGGATATAGAGGAAAAATGTACCATCAACAAAGTTTCAATCGTGGATACATATGTATCCTTAACATACTGAAACGACTTCCATTATTGGTATCAAACCAATAACGATTCATACAAGCTAAATCTTCTAATCGATAATTGGGCCAAAGGAAAAACTTTAATTTAATTAATTTATTTTTCTCGCTATCAAGATGCGGATTTTCATCCAAAAATGGACCCCAGTCTTTTATGCTGTTCCCGTTGCAAAATACTGGATTTCTATCCATACCATTTCTATTCTTTGAATTGAAACAAATTAGAATTCTCAACTCTCTACAACGTCTAGATGATAAAATATTTTCAGGAATAAGCAAATCATAATGATTTTTGTCTATATTTCCAGTTATCTTTTGATGTTTTGCAATGAATTCATCAAAGTTCTTCTTATCAAGATATTCTTTTTCTCGGTATCTTTGATTAGTTTTGTGCTTACTCTTATGAACCAATGAAATACCGAGGGTTTGATACATAATAAATTGTCCGTCGTTTTTTAAAAACAGACGAACGGGTTCGATAATCAATATTCCCTTTTTCATCAATTCTGTAAGAGTTAAATTCTTTTGAATCAGCATTATATCCAGACTTATTTCTCTTCTTTGAATCGAGAATATAGCAATTTCTTTTGGATTTCTCAGTCTAAGCAGGAGACAATATACTTTGATATTATTGATCATTCTTTGATTCAAAGTCTCATTCCATCTCAATTGAAAAAGCAAATACTTGTTCAAGAAGAAATGGAGTTCTGCTTCCGTGTTATTCTTGTATTGTTTTTTATTTGTACGTTTTTTCATATCTGATTCCGGATACTCTTCTTCAATATCGTTTTGTTGGTTTGAGAGAGGGGACCCAAGATATTTTTTGTTTTGTGCATCTGATCCAAGATCCCCTTGGCCTGCGGGTTCTTTTTCGTTTTCTGCTTGATTTATATTCTTTATCTTTAATTCAAAAGATTGTTTTTTATTCGGTGGTATAAAAAGATTCCTTTGTTGCTTTCCGTTGATGTTTTTATTTTTACTCAAATTGTCAGTTATAGTTAAGTTTAAAAGAAGCAATTTGCTTGGTATAACCCATGGTTTTATTTTATATATATTATAAAGTAACAAAAATTCTGGGAAGAACCAAAATTCCAGATTCAATATGGGACGATTTAGTATTTCTTCATTCATTCCCATCCAATCTAAAAAGATTTTGTTTTGGTTGGGTGGATTACTTTCGGGATCTTGATGAATCGGAAGATAAAAAAGATCTTTCTTATCACTTTGATGAATTATTTGATAATTCTTAGTGCCGGTTTTAGTATTTTTATTACTGTTGGTATCTATTTCGATCCATGCTTCAATATCGACTTTTTTTCTAAGACAAAAATGTATAATTTTCCAATCAAAATATTTTCTATCCGGATTTTTTCCCATATACCCAATATCACCTTCTCCTAGATAATTATTGATAGTGGTAATCTCCGGCATATCAAATAATTTGTGTTTATGTGTATTGTAATTATAAGAAATTTCTTGGTTCTTAGTTACTTCGAACGGTGATCCATAAAGATATGAGTTCCTCTTATTTTCATAATTAATAGATTTATATGATAAAAGATCATATCTATAGTTTTTTTGAAAATTGTCTTTTTCATTCGGCAATGAATATATTTCATAATCTTTTTGTTTTTTGTAATGAATTAGTTGGTCTTTTTCATATGAATCCCGTTTGTTTAAATCTTTAGTTTGAGCTGTACGACGTTGATTGACTCTATTTCGCCATTTTTGTGGTATTAATCTAGACCATTTAATCCGAGAGAAATCGTATTGATAATGACCTTTTAACCAATTTTTCCATTGATTCATTCCAGAATTCCGAAGTTTCTTATGGCTTAATTCGAAATGAAATATACCTTGTGTTCCAAAATAATCCTTTATTGTATTCTTAAGAAAAAAAGATGTTCCGTGATATTGAAGAACAGATCTTAATTTATACAAGTTAATAACTTGGGTTTGGGATAATTTGTAAAATACATATGCTTGTGACAAGGAGGGTAAGTCACAAAAAATCTGTGAATTTTTATTATTATTACTAATATTATAAAGTGACTTTTTTATAGTGGAAATGAAGTGAATTGTAGTTTTATTTCTTTTAGCAATTCTTTCTTGATTTGTTTCATTATTGTAAATGTATTTATCAATAATTTTGTTTGTTGATGATGCAAGAAAAAGTTGTGTATTGATTCTGGGAATATTAATGATATATAGAAAGATATCCATGGATATCTTTTCAATGAAAAATTTTATAAAATAATGTAATTTACGGAGTAATCGAACGTTTCTTCTTTTTAACATTTGCCAAATAGTTTTTGGTGATTCTAATCTTTTAACATTATAACTTGTTTTGTTAGGACTAATATTTATTCCTGGAGTTTTTGTTTTTTTCTCTTTTGTAATTCTTTCTATTTGATTTCTTATTGTGCTTGTTCTATCAGTTAGATCTTTCATTTTTTTTTCTGTCAGTGAATAATTTGTCCAATTCGTAGATCGAATTTGACTAAACGATTCATGAATTTTCTGATCGTTGATTGTAGAATCTTTTTCTTTTTTAGTTTCACTCGACTCATCTACTTCTTTCAATCTAAATAATAGAATTAAATTTACTTTTGAAAGTTCTTTTAGTATTCTTTTTATAAATAGAATGCTTTTGATAACCCATTTTTTTGTTTCGTTTAACACCCTTAGAAAGAATTCGATTCTTTCTTTTAAAACTCTTAGAACTATAAAAGACTTATTTTTCAATTGACCAATTTGATTTTCGAGTTCCTTAAAAATGGGTTCAAAAAAAGAAGGCCGTTTTCGAGGAGAACCAAAAGGAAGGTCGGTTTCCATTCCCCAAACTGTTAAAAAACAAAAATCGGCTTTTTTTACTTTTCCTTTCTTTTTCATTCGATCTTTATGGAAGGGCCGTAGCTTTGGTTTGTGCCAAGGTTTCAGACAGAAAGGAAATAAGATTTTTATCTGAATACCATCTAGTAACCAATTTTTCGGAAATTCTGTTTCTGATAATTGAACACCGTTATAGGTGCATTTAACATGCATTTCGCCAGCCCATTCTTTTAAATCCTCAGACCACTCGGGAAATTGCAATAATAAAATACGGCCAATATTTTTAGCTATTATCAATGAAGGTAATATAATATATTTTCTAAAAATCGATTGAGTTACTAACATGGAACCTCTTATTACTTGAGCAAGCGGAATGGTATCCCAGGCTTCTGCTATTTCTATCCGCGTTTTCTCCTTTCGTTTGTTCTCTTCTTTTTTTTTTCCTTCTTTTATTGGTTCTTCTGTATAATCTAAAATTTTGAATTCTTCTTTTTTTCCCATCCCATTTTTCAAAATGAGTTTCATTAGTCTGGAGATATCAAAAGAAAAAAGGAGGGATTTGTCTATTCTGTCCAAAAAAAGGGGGGAATGCACATTTGCTTGAAACAGTTCCTCAATAACTATTTTACGTCTTTGAGCGCGCATAGAACCTTTGATTATGTTTCGACGAAAATCCGATTGTTGTGAATAACGTATTAAAGCCACTTCATCTTTTTGATTAGAATTTTCAGTCTCAGTATCGATATTTTGTTGGTTATTAGTAAAAATCACTACACGTTTCGCTTTTCTTGAGCGAATCTGCTGTTGCACCGTCCCGTCTTCTTCATTTTCTCTTTCCTGTTGTTGTTCCAAATCGTTGATTAATTTGTATGACCACCGAGGAACTTTTTTAATGATTTCTTGTATTTCAATAGATTTTTTTCTCATTTTTTGATCATTAGGATCATTTATAATTCCATTGAATAAAAATTTCAAAAATTTTGCTCCATCAATTCTTTTGTCTATTGATAATAATTTTTTATCAAATGTATTTATTTTTTGTTCAAATTCTCGATAATCTGTATCAGTAAAAAGGATACCGTGAATCTTATTTATCCAAATTTTTTCTATAAAATTTTCTATGTAAGTTTCATTTATGATTGAAGGTGAAAACCCTTTTTTGATTGTTCCACGAGACGATCCGTTCAAGAAAGGATCATACATTTTAGGCAAATATTCTTGCCTGGTTTCATCATTACACAATCTAGTTTTTTTTTCAAGTAGATTCAAAGAAAGGGATCCTCCGTCTAGAGCCTCGATTCGGTTTATAAATTCGTTGCTTAAGTTCTTACTTTTTTCTTCGTTGGTATAAATCCAATTATTGTATAGTTCGTCAGAGGGGGGGTTTTCTATTGTGTACAAGGACATCTTTTTTTGTATCATTTCCCAAAAGGTTGATAAACTGGGTGGATACGTAAAAGATATTTTTTGTTTTCCATCACTTTGGCATGTATAAAAAAAATATTGTGACATTTCATTTCTTACAGCCTTTTCAAAGTGTTGGTT